AAATGAAGATGAGAAGAAAATGAAATGCACTTTGCCCGGCACTAAATCACCTACTAACAGTGGGAAAGAGCAGCATTGGAGCTGGTTTGAGAGCTCAACTGAAGGTAGTGTAATCTTGACATTTTCTTCATTTCATTTTAATTATTTTACATGCAATTTTAATCACTTACTTAATATTATTTTATCATATTTGTTCATTTATGCTAATTATACATTTATTTATTTGTTTATTATAGAAAAAAGTGTGAATGATGCCGATGGTTCTCCAAGAAATGCTGACTCATCAGATCCAGTGCAGACTATCACTGATTCTAATGCTTTATCAAAAACAGGTACACAATATAATGTATATTAGCATGCATAGTGGGTATCTTTTTGGACTGTAAAATTTTGTTCTTTTTATTTTTCAAGCTTTAAAAATCACATTAAATCAGAGAAACACACAGAGTAGAAAGGGAATGAAAATAAAACAAAATAATAGCTGGTTTATTATTAAGACTTATAGAGGTTCTCTCTACCATATAATTCTCCTATAGTGACATCACTGTAAATGATAGTGTTGACATCACTGTAAATGATAGTGTTATGTATAGTGTACTGCATGGTTATTGCTCACATAAATAAAACTTACATGTAAATAAGTATAAACATTTGTAATGGTTACACTGCATTTTTATCGACCTACTTGTGAAATTCATTAGTGATGATGTCAATATTGATATTTTATGTAATTATTATCACATATCACTGACAATATTTTGAACCAGCAGCTGTTATTTAGTTGTATGTATTTCATGTGTATGAGATTCAGTGTGCCAATAATCCACCAATTGCACCTGCTACCTGATGAAATTAAAATTACATTGTCTTAACCAATTGTTTTTACTCTTCCCCAAATTTTTTCACAGTTTCTGATGATACCACACAAGACAATACAGCACCAGCTCCTACTATTGCTAAAGATGGAGCCACAAGCACTGTTGGAGCAGAAGAAGGTATTTCATATAATTCCTTATCTTCAGAAACATAAAATTATAGTATTTTGACATGTGAATTATCTAGATCTATATAATTATCACAATTTTCATAAATGCATACCTTTAATTAAATTTCCCAAATTTGCCCAATAATACATTTTTGAAGATTTAGTTTTGAGAAATAACACTCTTTGCCACCTTGTGCCATTACAAGTTAATTTTCATGGATTTAATTTATTCAAATTTTAATTGTGAAATCTGTAAAATATACAGCCATCACTAATTATTTTGCACTGTATTGGTATTGCTGGTTTCGTGTCACTTTGCTATCATAATGTAGGACAACCTTCAGCTCAAGTCAACCAGCCACCAACTACTGGAGGAGGTAATAATTAATAATATGTGGATGTGATTAATAAAATTGCATGCAAACATTGATTTATCAACATGGCTTGCAGTAACAAGATTAGCTTGCTTGAGTCAATATGTCTGTTATTGTTTTGTATTTTTAGGCAATACAGTTTTTAATATATACAATATTAATAGTCAAGTTCAAGGACAAGGTATTTTATGTAAATTGTTAAAAGTTTCATTAACAAACAAGAACTTTTGTGATCATGTAATATGTTAATAATTTTATATGATGTGTTGGATGGTTATTGATCCCACTTTACATTACTTAAATGTTAGATTTGTTAGTAATGACATCTATTTTTACTTGCAATTTTCATGTACAGTTGTTGTACAATGTGAATATTGTCTAATCTGTTTTTACATCTTAATGCCAGGTAATAATTGCACAGTTTCTGGTAGCACACAAACCAGTACTAACTTGTTTAATAGCATGAACACTGTTACAGTAGCAGGAAAAGGTATATCACTGTAGTCACTAACCTTTTTGAAATTAAGCATATGTGCATTAATATTGTTTTTATATTACATTTGTTTGTAGTATGGTGCGTGGGCGGATCAAAGGCACCGCCAGTGCTACAACTTCCTGTAACCATATGGTAGGAAAATGTAGCACTGTGTGGAATATATAGTACTGCACAGTATAATATGTATGGGC